ATCTATGCAAATAATGGTCCAAACATTGGAAAACAGTTAAAAATTTCACGCACCAGCGCATGAAAGCTGAATTCGAAACCTTAAAGGGTGAATATCTTTTCGTGATTCCCGAGATATTAATTTACCCATAAAAAAACTTTTACGGGTAAATTAGCTGAATTTAAATTTGCGGGGTCACAAGTGTGTGGGGAACGTTCCCCTAAATTTTCAGCTTCCTAGCTTTTGTGGTTCCCGAGTTGAAAGTTGCGGATGGGGAACGTTACCCTAAATTTTCAGCTTCCTAGCTTTTGTGGTTCCCGAGTTGAAAGTTGCGGACAGTCACACGTGGGTGGGGAACATTACCCTAAATTTTCAGCTTCCTAGCTTTTGTGGTTCTCGAGTTGAAAGTTGCGGACACCCCTTAAATTTTCAGCTTCCTAGCTTTTGTGGTTCCCGAGTTGAAAGTTGCGGACAAGTTGCTGCGTTAAATTTTCAGCTTCATAGCTTTTGTGGTTCCCGAGTTGAAAGTTGCGGACAAGTTGCTGCGGGAAACGTTACCCTAAATTTCCAGCTTCCTAGCTTTTGTGGTTCCCGAGTTGAAAGTTGCGGACAAGTTGCTGCGGACACAAACGCATACAAGACAACCCCTGACAATATGCGTTTTGTACTGCTGTTACACAGCGCAAAACGCATAACGAGGAAAGAGGGACGGTCAAAAAAAAAGTGAGTGGATTTGAATGCCGTGACTGTGAATTTTTTGGTGAGAAAATCAGATTGGTCTTGGTTTCTTCTTCAGATTGTTCAGGTACATATCCAGCCTTGTTTGCGCTCTTCAGTTAAACATTCAAATTTCTTGTTGAGATCGGCAAGGTGTAGTATGTACGTTCAAATTACTTGTTTCAGGTTGATCAAGTGTATTTTCTGCTCGACTGTGGCTGGGATGAACGATTCGATATGGCTTACATTGAGGCCGTGAAAAGACGTATTCCCCATATCAATGCTGTCTTACTGACTTATGCGGATGTCCCACATATTGGCGCATTGCCGTTCCTTGTACGAAAATGCGGCTTAACCTGTCCCATCTACGCCACGGTTTCTGCTTTTTCACTGTGCTTTTTATGCGTTTTTTTGCATCTATGCAATGCAAAAGCACATATTATTGAGGGGCTGTCTGTGCGTGTGTGTGTGTGTATGTGTGTGTGTGTGTGACTACGTATGTATCTGTACCGATTTTTTATCTCGAGACTTGCAAAAAATACAAGGCTGGAACTTTGGGGACTTAATCTGCATGCATGTACGATCACCTACCCCAAAATGGGCACTGTTGCCCACGTGGTTCCCACGTACGGAAGCGCAAAAATTTTTTGCGAGTACGTCGCTAACTCAGGGACCTGAAAAGCTAGAATTTTAAGAGCATGTACCCTGTCCACGTAGGACTGGTTAGTTCATACCCAGCTCCCAGATTCGCATTTTTTCAGATCCCCAGGTACGGGTCCGAAAAATTTGTGGTGAGTAAGTTGCTAACTTGGGAAGCAGAGAGGCTTAAAAACTGGGATTTTGACGGGATGTTTTTTCACATTTGTGGTGACTACTCTTAATTCTTTTAGTTAAAAGCATTTGCTGGAAAAAAACAGTACCTTTAGTGAAAAAAACTTGCAGGGAACTATGCAAAAAACGCTTCTTCGCACCGGCAGTCGATGCGCTGGCCAATAACTTTTTTTTTTCATTTTAGTGCGACTGCGACGGCAGCCATCAGAGTTTAGGATTTTTTCAAATTTAAAGTAATTGTTTTCCTTGCAAAGGTTCCTGTGCACAAAATGGGACAAATGTTCTTGTATGACTGGGTTAATGGACATACCAGTGTCGAGGAATTTAATTTGTTCAATTTGGATGACATCGATGCGGCGTTTGAACGTGTGCAACAAGTGAAATACAGCCAAGCGGTTCGTTCCCAGTATTTTTAATTTTTAAGAAACTTTTTTGCTAATTTTTAATTTTTTTTTTTTTTTTTTGAAGGCAAATGGTGTTTCCTCAAAAAATAGTGATTTTAATTATTTCCTCCCCGCCATTTCCATTCATCGCATCCGTACTGTGACTGGTGTTTCCGGTTAGCAAAATTGCCACCTGTGCAGTTAAGGACGATATGAAAATTAGGAGAAATGGAAATGCTAAAAATACATAAGATTATATGTAAAGGTACAAAATTATATTAAAAAGTTGGACGAAAAAAAATATTTCGGCCCACCAAGTTGTTAGGCGTTCTTATCTACCCGCACAACTGGATCTCCCCAGTACGACGGTAGTGGTGTTGATAAATTAAATAAAGCGAATGAATAGATAAAATAAATGGCAACGCGCACCAGACTAGCTGGTGCGATCATGCGTTTTGTGCAATTCAGCCCATGGAACGACTGCCTGTTAATGATTTTCACTGCTTTGTACTTTAGTCTATGCAAAAATAGTTCAAACGTTGGGAAACAGTTAAAAATTTCACGCACCAGCGTATGAAAGCTGAATTCGAAACCTTGAAGGTTGAATATCTTTCCGTGATCCCTGAGTTAATAGTTTACCCGCCAAAATTTTCACGAGACCGTAGGTGGTACCCGAGAGCACGAGAACGCTGAATTTGAATGGGCAAGGTTGAGGGCGGGTAAGGGGTCATTACCCTAAAATTTCAGCCTCCTTGATTCCGTAGTTCCCGAGATATTAACTTACCCGTAAAAAACTTTCACAGGTCCGTACGCGTTACCCGCGGGTACG